ACCATTTTACATTATTTCACTTAACCCGATTTAGTGTTTGAAATGAAATGATCGACATTTTGAAATTAAATGAAATAAAATACATCGAAATTATATTTTTATAATTTTATTGCAAGGATTTAATTTTACTTGCTTTAATTTTAATAGTAGTTAAATAAAAAATTTGTGGTGATTATGGATATAAGTCACGGGCGTTTACTTTACCAATAAAATTCCCTATTTTCGAGGTACATGTAATAGTAAAATGAAAAGTATTCTTGCAACTGATTGGACATCAGACATATCACGTGTTTATAATAACCTTAATTTTTATTCGTAATCTTATTGGCTAGTATTTTATCGGTTCCAGTGAAATAATCTCTTCTAGTGAAAACTTCAATGGAACCACTAGAACACTGGAAATATCTGGACGTCCAGTGAGGTTCCAGCTTCTAGTCAACAACACTGATGTATGGTATAATCAGTTGACCTGACATCAATTTTTGTCACTTAGAGATATGTATAGTATAATCGGTTGACCCGACTAATTCGGGTGACCCAACTAAGTCAGGTGACCCAGCTAATTCGGTTAACCCAGGTCAACCGATCTAACCGAAACAATACGGTTAAACCGATTGTATCCGGGTAAGTTAACTCGGTTAACCGATTAGAAATTTTTTACCCGGTTCATATCATTACTTAGTGCTTTCAAATTTATTATTTATTGCTTGCCAGATTCAGCTCTTGAAAATCTAATGACAAATTAATTGCATATCAAATATATTACTAGTCAAATTTTTCATGGACTAAATCTGAAAATAATAAACAATATAATTGAAAGCCCGAAGCCTCATTTCTCTTCGTAGCGTTCATATTTTATTTAGATACCATATGTTTATGTATTTGAGTAATACTCAGCAAAAAAAAAAATCTATATATTACTCATCTAGTTTCGTTTATATTACTGAGTAGCACGTTTTTTAATAGTACTCTATAAAAAAATTTTAATATGCTAATCAGTTAAAATGTTATACTATACTGAGTAGGGTATTACAGTAGTGTACTAACGAAAATACCCGGGTACAATACAATCTACCCATCAAAAAACTTACAAAGGACCCGGTACATTATGCTGTAACAGGTCGGTGTCACAAGAAAAAAAAATTTCAAGCATATACATATTCCGCATTTACAATAAGCAGCTTGAAAATTTAAAAAACTCATATTTAATTAATAGAGATCTCATGGTTTGCACCAGGGTACTTTGCATGAGGGTACTGAAAAGTGGGTACTTTGGTCAATGCACTGACCTGATGCACGATGATAATCGTGCTAAGGTTTTTATCATGAGGATCATCAGTCCTGGTCCCATTTGAGTCTATGACGACATTTTGACGTATGTGAAACATATGGATATAAATTAGGGCAATTGGGTAATTGTAGGTCTCTTAGTGCTTTTTTCTTCGCTGCCCGACTTTGGTCTGGCTTTTTTCGTTTAAGTTGTCTATAGTGTCTTTTTCCTCACAGAAAACATACTTCATTATTACATACGTTTCTTATATTCTTTACTTTCCTTTACTTTTTCTCCCACTTTTTGACTAGAAACGTTCAAAAAAAAAAAAAAAACAGAAACGAAAAAGAAGAAATATGTCAGAATCAAACCTATCAAAGGGCGATTTGAAAGAACATTGCCATGCGGTTGGTGTCTCTACTAAAGGTGTAAAGGTGGACCTGGTACAAAGGCTGAAACAACTTTCAAGTGTAGTGGGCTGAAATCCAAATAACATCGAAGAAGTTGGTAAAACAAGTGTGGGAAATTGTGATGTCGATGAACATGAGGATCATATGGAGGGGGTAGATGAATTTGATATTGATCCAGTAGCAAAATCTTTAAAGAAATTAGTGTATAAATCGATAGGGAAATTTAAACAACTACCAGTACCGGTGTTTCAAAATGATGTTGAAGACCAAGATAATACTCATATACATACTGAAGAATGTACAAACCAAAACAAATGTCATTATCATAAGATAGGAGTTGATTATCCATTAGAAAACTTGGTATTATCTGAATTTAAAAAATTGGGCGATGTGATATCAAACCCTAACGATAGGCTTAACTCAGTGGCTATGCAAGTACAAGATATGCGTTACAGAGCTGAAATAAACGAAGCATAGCCAACTTGCAAGTTTGAAAAATCACGAGATCTACACGAGTATGATTCGTTACGAACAATAGAGACAGAACTCGATTTTGTTAAAGAATCAAGAACTTCATCTGACATTTTGAGTCATATTAAAAAAGCCCGAGAAGCAGTGTCAAATTGAATATTTATCTTGCGTGTAGCAGAGGGGTATGGTTGGGAAGTTGCAGCAGCATTACTGAATACACAGGACAATTGGCTTAAAGAAAAGGATACATTAATTGAAAAGGCTAAAAACTTAGCTGAAGTAAAGAAGAATAAGCGCCAAAAAACTTCTGGTTGGGCTGAAAATCGGGATTTTTTATTCCAAAAACCAATTAATCAAGAAAAGGCTCAGAATTCTTACCAGAGTTATCATGGTATGAATCAGTTTTTTCGGACAAACTCCCAGCTACACAGTCAGTTTCAAAGTTCCTCCAACAAATGTTATATCTGTGAAGGGTATAGACATTATGCAAACAACTGCTCCTCTGACCCCACCGAGATACTAGATACCAGCAAGAGCACAACTTCAACTACAGATCAAAAGGGTATACGGCATATAGAAACAG